AAGGCAAGAATTCTTGAAAAGACATTCAACAAATTTGAGAAAATATTCATTCCTGCATCCCACCACTTTGCAACCGAAGTGAAGTTCAAACGTGAGGTGGACCAATCAGCCCAAAAGATCTTCATCCATACAATAAGGCCTGGTTCATTAAGATTCTGAGTGTTAAACCTGAATAGGTCTTTGCCTCTTATGGTCTCCGATGTAATTATCGAGATGGCAATCGGGGTGTGATCTGACATAGGGTGATACCGAGATTGTACGTTCGCGATTGAATCCCACAGGTTCGCGGAAGTGAGAAAGTAATTGAGACGCCTTTTAGTATTCTCACGATAGTGGGAGTACCATGTAAGGCCCTCGTCCTCTGGGCGTGAGAGTCTAAATGGATCGATCAAATCAAGTTCAGCCATGGATGCATCCAAAGCGAGCTTATCGTTGGTGCTCCTAACTTTTGGTAAGGTATCCAACGTTAAGTTCCAGTCACCAGCAATGACTAATTTATCACCTTCAGGGATGATCATCGACAATTCCGAAAGGAAAATTGTTCTCTCCCTGGTATCGACTGGAGCATAGATACATACAATGACCCAATAGCAACCGTCCATGAAGCATTTCATCCAAGACCATCTTCTCCACAAATCTGAGTAAAAGTCCACTATTTATGTCGCGAGATTTCTATGCACTAGAATGGCGGTGCCTCCTCTCGTACCATCAGCAGGAGACCATAACTGTGGTCCATCCCACCAGTTACCAAGCGCAGCGATCTTCTCTTCGTTTAATTTCATTTCTTGTATGCAGGTAATTTCAATATTATTCTCAAATACCCAGGATTTCAATCTTTCCTTTTTGTATCTGCCTGTGGTTTCCCCCAACCCCCTTACATTCCATGATGCTACCCTTAATTTAACCATTATTTTGGGATCCCCGCACCCCTAAATGGATTTGGGGAGAACCCTGTGATGGCAGCAACCATAAGCTGGTCAACATATTCTGAACATACGGAGAGTTCAGTTTCTTTTCCCTGAGCAGCCTTCCATCTACTTCGGCCAAGCATTCAGCTGTTTGCAGTGGCGGAATTTTTAAACGCCTGAGCTCCGATTTACGAGGATCAGCTATCCACGCGAGAGGGATGAGTTTCATACCCTCGCCTTCCAGTTTCTCTAGTTGACCAGCTACGAAACGAGCGTCCAGAATCGGAACAAAGAATTTAATTCTTTTGCCGTCACCTTCTGGGCTGTCCGTGATAATTCGGGGCATGGAGCAGTCTGGAATAATACGAAAAAGAAAACGATCAGCAATCGCCGGTCGAATTAGCGTAACCATTGTCGATGGCATGGGTTGCTCTGGTGCAGGCAGAGTGACAAACACAGTGGAACCATCCATCATGGACCACACTATGGCCCAGAAAGAATTACGAGCAAAAGCACAGAAGAGAGGCAAGATTCGGTTACCGACCTTTTGAAGTTGCCCTCTCGAAAGGGATGCAACGGGAGTTCGGTGCCTTGTGGTTTTATTGCCCGGGGTTCCGATTTCCCTAATCTGGCCTTGTGAGGGGTCAGAAGTGATTGAGCGTTGATCCCCTAGACTGCTGCTTGCTCCTTTCGGAGGGAGCCTGTTCCCTTCTCCATTGTTAACGCTGCCCTCTGGTTGTCCTGTCGGTGGAATGAAGCCTTGAGTACCTTGAGGCTGCGGTCTTGAAGATACCGGTGGTTGACTTGTTCCGGCGGCCTGTGCCCCTCCCGACCCTAGGTCAGCTCCCCTTGTTCCGGCGGCCTGTGCCCCTCCCCCTAGGTCAGCTCCCATAGGGGGTGGGGGGGGGGGGGCTGGAACATGTGCGCTGGATACATGGCCGATTGACCGCCCTGCTGAGCAAGCCAAGGGACAAAGGCATGACCTAGTCCATTCTGCATCCCATACATGGGCATATGCACACCGTGTTGAGCAACCATTTGGTCGTACCCTTGATTGAAGGTAGGATTGAGGTGCGCATTTGAGAAGACTAGTGGAAGCGGCCCTTGCGGCATGGTGGCCTGTCCGCTCATTCCTCCAACTGCAGCTTGTGATGGAGATATTCCCATGTGGCTCATGTGTCCTGCATATCTTGATTGTTGCTGACCTTGTTGTTGACCTTGCTGTTGAGACTGGCTGTTGCTCTGGCTTCCTTGCTGACCTTGGTTTCCGTGCTGACCTTGGTTCCCTTGGTTGTTGACTTGCTGTCCTGCTCCTCCTCTTCTGCACTCGTTTGCTGTATGAAAGAAGGCGCGACATCGCCGACGTTGAGGGGTGTCTGATGAGGCAAGCTTGACTTCTAGCTCGTCTCCCTCGGAGGTGACGACCCAGATTTTGTCCTTCATGTTAGGACGTGAATCTGGTTCGAGATTGAACTTCCCGTTTATGGCGATGGTTTCAATCTATCTGGCGCGATAGGGTGCCTACGAATGACTGGACCAATGGCTACGCTTACTTGGGCTTCCAAGTATATGGAGTCCAGTGGGACTTGTACCGCTATAACCCAAAAGGATTGGCGGTCTTCGTCTTGTCTCTGCTCTCTCAATTGTGCTTTAGTTAGCCATGTTTTGAAGTCGAATCTGTATGTGGTGGAGCCTATCGAGATCTCATCCTGCCCTTTTGTAACTAGCCATGATGCGATAGCTCTGCTCTTAGCTACGTAGGACACTACGTTGGGACTCTCGATTTTTACCCTCCCTCTACTAAACACTTCGGCCTCAAAACTGCCATCCTGTACCTTCACATCCTCATATGCCCTAACAACATCGTCTTTTACCTTCTTTGGTAAGAACCTGGCTCCTTCTCTAAAAATAATCGTCACTGTGTGCTCTTTGAGCCATGCGATCTTCACCCGATCCAGCGTGAGGTTGACTTTGAACCTGGCCTCTCTTCCTTCGACTGTCATTTCACCAGGATCTATTCCTGTTGGAAGGATCCCTTCCTCATAACAAAGTCTCATTAACTCCTTCACCCTATCCTCGTCTTCTCTGTCTAACCCTGGGTCTGGTGGAGGAGAGTGAGGTTCTCTCGCGTCCTCCCCTTCCGCCATCGTGACTGTCTCCGTCTTGGTGCTTTGGTGAAGAGGTCGTGAGCGTCTCCTTCCAAATCTCCTTTCGCTCCTACTTGTCCAAGCTGGCAAATAGTAACTTCTAGAGGGAGCTAACTTCGCTTAGCATCTTCTGGTTGTGTGACTGTGTGATTGTGTGGCACGGTTCGGTGACGGCTGGGCGATGAGTAAGCCTCAATTCGTGACAGCCCGTGCAGGCTGCGGCGAAACGCTCTCCGAAAACAGTGCGGAGCAGAGCGGCTGACTCCATAGCCGTGGCGCCATCATGTTGGTGATGTCAGCGGCCGCCACAGTCCCCTCGTTACCGGTGGGATAACGCTTGGTCCGAAACGCAACGCGCCGGCGGAAGCGCTCCGGCCGAATCCCGATCAACTCTTTTTCACAGTTTTTTTTTCCTTTTTCTTTCGGCTGGTCCCTTTTGATTTGGACAAACAAGTGGTTTTTTTTTTTTTTTGTTTACAAAAAGAAACAGCTTTGGCCTGCTAGGAAACAAGTGGATGTCAAGGAATCTAAATGTTTATCCCTCACATTATGTTCATCCCTCACATTGGGCACCTCAACCTTGACTTCACTGTACCAACAAATTATCCCCCAAGAGCTTGCACTATTGAAAGAGAGCGGAGCTACCTAGCTCTGATGAGCACAAATAGCATCCTTGCATATATTTACCGAGTCATGCCCAAAGGATAAACATCAATGCCGTATTCAATCCCCAAAGTGGTCTAGGCAAAATAGGAATGAAGAGAAGTGGATGTAGAAGGAGGAGGAGGAGGAGGAGGAGGAGGAGGAGGAGGAAGGAAGGACTGCAATTGAAACAGCAAGAAGAAGAGGGAGGAGGTGTAGGAGAGGAAGAGGAGAAGGGAAGGACATGCCATATGTGAAGGAGCAGAGGTTGCATGGTCGTGGTCTTAGAGAGGGTGCGATTGGTGTTCCCTATGCTCGCCGAAGCTCATAAATTGGTGGCAGCCATAATAGCCGGAATTCACAGCCCTAATTCTGCAGTTTTAGCGCAGTGCGACAAGTGTCCGCAAGGTTGGCCTTTGTTTGTGTGGGCGACGGGGGGGAACTGGGGTGTGGATGGGTTGATGTTTGTCATTTGACCGGTCAATGTTTGCTTGGAGGGAAGGACCAGCGAAAATTGTAGGAGCCGTCCCTCAGAAAGAAACGGAACCCCTAGACGGGAGTTGAAGCTTTGGCCTGGACATGCCATTTCATCAGATCACTTAGGCACCGTTGAATTGGATAGCCGCTCTCTCTTTCCCTCTCAATCGTCAGTCACACAGGGCACCAAAGCTCTCTCTCTCTCTCTCTCTCTCTCTCTCTCTCTCTCTCTCTCTCTCTCTGTGTTACCCCCCCACCTACTCACGCTCTCTCTCTCTCTCTCTCTCTCTCTCTCTCTCTCACACACACACACACACACACACACACACACACACACAGAGGGCGATGTGGTGAGTCCTTATCGATCAGTCAAATGCATCCTGGGCAGAGTGTCGGGGTTCAACCTCCTGATGAGTCGGTGAAAGTCCGACGAAAGTCTGGTACAGTCATGCTTTTTTTGAGTGTATAGCGAATATGCCAACACACACCGAAAAAAANAAAAAAAAAAAAAAAAAAAAAAAAAAAAAGCCCAACGCTGCATTCTTCGCGCCCCCGCGGATTAGCTTAGTGCTAGTCATCAGCAGACGCTCATTTCGTTGCTTGCAGAAGACGCCGTGCTTTTGTTACAGACAAGCATATCGGCACAAAAAGCGTTTATAGGGCTGCATAGGCCTCGCATTATCATGCCTACCCGGTCAGCACACGTGGATCGAGGCCCTTGAGGATCCGGGCAGGTCATTTGTGGAAAGGGTAGAGGGGTGGTCTTATAGAGGAGCGGAAACGTGGATCATTGGAATAAGAGCACGCGGTAGAGCGGAGCGGGGCGGGGCGGGGGAGGTTCGCGGCGCGAACATTTCATAGGGAAAAAGACGCTGGAGAGGTCCAGATGAATGCGTTGCGTACGCTCCGCGGCTCCGCGGGGGCCCTTGTGGAGTCCGGCGGGGTGCTGATTGCGACGGCGAAGAGAGTCGAGAGCTTGCGGTCGCCGGTGGGATCGCATTCTCTTGTCAGAAGGGGCGCCCAGGTGGTAGTTCGACGTCGCAGCGTCGACTCTGGCCTTGGAGAGCTCCTCGGCGAGAAGCCATTTTCATCAGGAACAGGAACTGGTCATCATCGATCAACCTGTGCAGATTATCATACGACTATATTCTACGCAGAGGAAGGGGAGGACGCCATTTGGCGGCGAAGGAGCCGACTTCCGATCACAGTGTGTGGATCGGACGCTCGTGGGGGGCTTGCCGCCGGGACAGAGATATCTGAAGACAACATGGGCAACGACAAGCAGATCGAAGCACCTTACGGTGCATGGAGATCCCCCATCAGCTCGGACGTCGCGACGGGGAAAATGCTAAGGCTAGGGGGCGCAGCCATCGATGATGACGGGCGTGTCATCTGGCTAGAGGGGAGGCCGAGCGAGAGCGGGAGAAGCGTGTTGGTGAGGGAGCGGGAAGGCCCAGGAGATGGAGATGGAGATGGTGGCGAGCGTCCTCCGTTATCTTTTTCGTCTGCGGTAGAGGAATCGTCGATCGCAGGGGAGGACTTGACACCAGAAGGGTTCGATGTGCGCAGTCGTGTACACGAGTATGGCGGCGGCGCTTTCACAATCTGGCGGGACAGCATCTTGTTCACCAACGGTCCAGATCAAAGCATCTATCATCAGCGAATCTCGAACAAGGACGATTCGGGCACTGGAACATCCATCGCTAGGGCAATTACCCCCGCTGAGGAGGGGCAAGTGCTGAGGTATGCCGACGGGGTTGTAGATGAAAGATTCAATCGGATCGTGTGTGTGAGAGAGCATCACGGGAGAGGTGGGGAGCCGGCGAACGAGATTGTGGGTGTAAAGCTGGCGAGAGATGCAGGTGGTGGAGACGGAGGGATCGAGCAGAGGACGAGGCGGGAGGAGGAGAAGGAGGTGGAGGTGCTGGTGTCTGGGGATGATTTCTACATGTTCCCAAGGATAAGTCCAGACGGGAAGAGGCTGGCATGGATCTCCTGGTGTCATCCCAATATGCCGTGGGATCAGACATGTCTATGGGTTGGCGACATATCTCAAAGCGGGAAGATAGATAAGAAAATATGTGTAGCGGGAAAGTCTGAGGGATTGTTGGAGGCGCCCACTGAGCCGAGCTGGTCACCTTCAGGGGAGCTCTTCTTCGTCTCCGATAGAGGCAGCGGGTGGTGGAATCTCTACCGTTGGATCGACTCCCCTCCTTCCTCTAGCGATGGCGGCGGCTTCGTCGAAGCTGTTCTGGCTATGGAGGCGGAGTTCTCCCGGCCCGCCTGGATCTTCGGCAATCGAAGCTACACCTTCGCGCCTGATTGGCACTCTCATCCCACAATCATTGCCGTCTACAGACAGAATGGCATTGCTAATCTTGGCTTGATAGACGTTAGGAGAATGCGGCTGACGCCCGTGGAGACGGGGTACACGGAGATCTTCTCCGTGCAGTGTGGCGGCGCGGCGGGAAGAGTGGTAATGCATGCCGCGTCAGGCGTTCAACCCGAGAGCATCGTGGATGTCAAGATCGATTACGAACGCAGATCAGCGACCACGAAGGTAATCAAGAGTGCTTGCGATGTCGACGTCGCGAAGGTCTTCGAAGGGTATCTCAGCGTGCCACGTGTTGTCGAGTTCCCCACAACAGTGTACGACGATGGCGAAGAAGAAGAAGAAGAAGCAGAAGGCGCAGTAGGAAAGGAGGGTGGCGTGAAGGGAGGTAGCGAAGAGAGGAAATGGACGGCATTTGCGCTTTTCTACCCGCCATCTAACCCAGATTACGTGGCGCCAAAGGGGGAGAAGCCCCCCCTGCTTGTGCGGATTCACGGTGGACCGACGGCGGCCGCCGACACGGCGTTGCGACTGTCTTATCAGTATTTCACGTCGAGAGGATGGGCAATCGCTGACGTGAATTATGGCGGGAGCACGGGGTACGGGCGCGCGTTTAGGGAGCGCCTGAAGGGTAGATTGGGGATTGTGGACGTGGAAGATTGTTGTCGTTGTGCGGAGTACCTGGTCGCTCAAGGGATGGTTGATGGTAATCGGTTGACGATAGAGGGGTCTTCTGCCGGGGGTTACACCACACTGGCGGCGCTGACCTTTCGAGACACCTTCTCCGCCGGTTCCTCACGCTACGGTATCGCGGATCTGCGCATTCTGGCGGAAGAGACGCACAAGTTCGAAGCCAGGTACTTGGACGGGTTAATTGGTCCGTTGTCGACATATGGCCACGCGTACGATGATCGATCTCCCATCAACCACGTGGAGAATCTGCGCCGACCTCTCATCCTTTTCCACGGGCTGGAAGATGCAGTGGTCCCTCCTTCACAATCGCGTGCCATTTATACCGCCGTCAAAGAAAAAGGACTCCCCGTGGCTCTCATCGAGTTCGAAGGAGAACGGCACGGCTTCCGGAAAGCCGAGAATTTGAAAAAGACGTTGGAGTACCAGTTGCTATTCTTTGCGCGCGTGCTACCTGGCGGCATCCAGCTTGCCGATGACATTGAGCACTTCGACATCGACAATCTCCACGACTAACCCGACTTTCTCTGTGTTGTAACTATGGTAGCTCACCCACAACACAATTTTTGGATTTTGTCAACTCTTAGCTCTTTCTCTCTCTCTCTCTCTCTCCCTCACACACACACACACACACGCACACACACACACACTTTGTTTTGCAACTATTGTAGCTGACCCACAGTTTTGGGATGTTGTTCAACTCTTAGCCCTCTCTCTCTCTCTCTCTCTCTCTCTCTCTCTCTCTCTCTCTCTCTCTCTCTCTCTCTCTCTCTCTCTGTGTCTCTCATCCTTGGCAACTTGGACTTCAGAGTGGGTCACCTGAGTTGAGAACTTTGGATCAAAACGGGTGGTTTTGTTGCTCTCCGTGTAGAAGAGGTAGTGCCAACATAATGTTACGTGCAGACCTCAGGCCGTCTTGGCTCCTGAGGTACCTCCTTTAGACAAACTCAAGCCTAAGGCCTTCTTGGGGCCTGAGGTTCCGTCTTTAAGTTCACAGGCGCACGTGCATTTCATCAAAACTTCCAAGAGCAGAACTTGAATTGGCTTTTCATTTCATTTGGTTCCGTTTCATTCGCCACTGGGATCAGTCGCTAGCAGTCATGCCAGGCTAGCGGGCCACTGCAAATGTCTTTATAATATCAGCGATAGTAAGATCATGTTATCCCCTCCCCACCCCCTTAGAAGTTGAGCTTTGAGATCTGTTCGCAACGCCTATTAACAACAGACAGACACGTTGTCAGAGGAAGAGGGTTGAGAAAAACAGCACAAGGATCTTGATTGCAAAGGTGATAGGTGGTTTTCAGGTTTGATATGACCGGTAGTCAGCTAATGGCTGCTGGAATCAGTGTTAGTGTGTAGACGAAAGCAGAGTTTGACCGACTGGACTAGCCCAGTTGGTACATGCATCGACTCCTGAAACACGGAACTGAGTTCGAACTGCAATTGAATCAGAGCATACTCACACTAGGCCCTCAAAATCACAAAACCGCAAAATGAGTGGCCAGATCAAGTCCTTGTAAACGAAGGACTCGATCTGGCCGCTCATTTTGCGATTTTGTGATTTTGAGGATCTAGAGTTAGTATGCCCTCAGATCAGTAAAAAAACTTAAATACCTCTGAACATCGCACGTTTCCAATGCTACATATCACAGCAATCCCAACTATCTTGAAGAAGGGACGGTGAAAAGTTACCACATGTACTGCATACCTTGCAGCATTACATGACTGCAACTGCAAACGGAGCACTTAGCTAAGCATGATGATACGAATGAAGGGGCCGGAGCCTTGGACCCCTATGGAGGGAGGGGTTTTTGGCCTTTTAGGTGAGGAAGCCCGTGGTGTCTGGGTACCATTGGGAGTCTCCGGATCAGGGCCCCTTACCTGCCGAGGCAGAATCCCCCCCCTCGCTCTGATGGGGCCTCGTGCCTTGTTGAGCGTTTGTGTGGCTCACTGTGCTTGCGTTTTTTCATTCTTGCCGGTAATAAGCAACTGGAATGATGCCCCCCAGAATACATGGGGCACCTGAGTGTGTGGGGGGGTTACTAAAATATAATAACATGCAAACAAAAAAAACACCTCACAACTTTGTGCCGTTTGGGGATGAACAGTTCAAACTTCAAAGATGATATCTGAAGGCCGTTGGCCCTTTGTAGAAAGAAAGGAAGTAGCAAAAGAAGAAAGGAAAAAAAGCACTGTTTGAAGACACTTAGACCACCACTCCTTCCGGGCTTATTTTGACAAACCAGAAGTTGCATTTCCCCAAGCCCAGAATCTACAGTGCGGCCATGAGGAAAAGTAATTGTTGTACTGTTCTACACCTAAAGCTCTACCGCCCCTGGGCACTGTACTTTTGGCCGGTACTTGTGAACAAGATAAAATAACAGTGCAGGATAAGAGAAGGAGAGGTGGATGCAGGAGCAAGAACTTAAACCACCAGTACTCCGAAAATTGCTCCGTGTTAATGGGCAGCCAAAAGTGGAAACCGCGCCGTTTCCACTTGGCTGAATCGGGGCTACCGGCCCAGGCCGATTCAACCCAAAAGTCGTGCCCGTTAAAGAGGTGCAATTTTCAGAAGTACTGGTGTTTTAAGAGGTGCAGTGGACTTGTGAGAAAGGCATGAGGGGATGAACCCCCAAAAAGGCCAAGGAAAAAAAAAAAAAAGGCCAGTACAAAATCATGGCACCCTTCTCAACCAATTGAGATATACAGAGAAAGAGATACATAGCCGTGAATAGTGATGACCTGTGTGTCCTTTTTTTTTTTTTTTTTTGAAACTGTCCCTCCAGTGCTAGCAATACTGATAAGAGCAGACACCGCTAGCACCTGGGGATAGGCTCCATCTATCGGTGGGGAGCGTCACCTGCTGGAAAACGGGTCCAGTGTCCCTTGTGATTGTGATACAATTAGGATACTCAGAATATCTCAGAAAGTCCGCAAGCAGAACCTGCCAGCATTGATTGCCCTGGAGAACAGGGGATTGACTGAGCAGGGGGGGAGCCTCTTCACCCTAATTTTGGCGCCAGATTTCCGCTGTCTCTGCTGACTCCCTTCACTGTCTTGGTTGCTAGCGATGCCACAGAGCTGGAAACCGGGTCCAGCCYCCCGCACCCAAAAAAAAAAAAAAAAAAAAAAAAAAAGACCTGTGTGTCCTTTGGGACATCCATTAAAAGTGGAATGATACAGAGTAGATTATCATGGCCCCTTCACAACGTTAAGAAAGAAAGAAAAAAGCAAACCGGCGACCTGTGTAGAAGAGCACATGAACAAGAGGGAAGGAAGCATATGGGCATGCATGATATGATGACTGAGTGTTATGTTCAGGTGGAGAAGGTAGTGGCAAAAGGAAGGACCAGGGAAACAGCGTAGCCAAGCGGCAAAGGAAAGAAGCAACTTATTTAGAGGGCAAAGGAAGAAGCAGCTCCAAATCGAGGGCAACCGGACCAGGTGTAAGGACTCTAAGGAGTGCATAACAGCTCGCACTACCTCTTCACATCTCCGTTCGCATAAATAAAGTGTTCTTTCAGTTTGCCGATAGGTAAGTTGCCATGAAAGTTGCACCCAACCCCCCTCTGTCATCCACAGAACCTTGAACGCCATACGAGGAAGAGGGCGAGGGGAGGGGGGGGAACAATATGTGATCCATGCTTCATAAATGAACCGCTACCAGATTGAAACTTACGAAGCCTATTGACGAACAGACAAACAGTTGGGTGTCTTAAACCACCAGTACTTCAGAGGCACTTTTCTCTGCACGCCCCAAAAAACAAACCGGCAGGGGCCTCCTTTTGGCTGGCGGCACCAGCCATTTTGCTCTGGAGGCCGAGCCCCAAAAGCTTCCGCGGCATGCAAGCCGCATATGTTATTCTTTGGCTGGGAAATGTACCGGTGGATTAAATGCACATGCGCTGATGAGAATGCAAAGGGCAAAGCCAAAAAAGAAAACAAGAGAAATGGGCTAGTTAGACACTTCTCGGGCGCGTAAATCCCCCAAGGAAAACTTTGTTCCACCTATCCTCGGGGATGAAAACGAAAAAAAAAGTTGAAAACATTTCCTTGGGGAGTCCTCGGGTCGTCCTTGTGCTACAGCCATTTGGTGGCATTCCCCAAGGGACCTCCCGAGGTCCCTTGGAGGTCAAGGATCCACAATAATCGGAGCGGCGAGGGCACCCGTCGTCAGCAAGAAATTTCCGTCTGCTGGACCATTGGAGTTCCTACCTGGCAGCGCACGGACATCTTGGGTCTTCAACGTTCGGCTTCCAGGAATCTTACGCCAACTGTAACCGTTGGTGGCCGGCCGGCCCCCGCGGACGTTGTCGACCAGTGTTCTCCCTCGCAGTGCGTGCCGCCAAACGAATAGGGGTTGAGCGGTCGACAAATTTGAATACTTCAGCTGACCCCCCTTGCTCCAATTGGCCACTGTATACTGCGACGAAAAATGTTACAAGGCGTTTGTCCCATGCTGCTGTCTGCCGTTTGCAGCCCTCTTCGTCGCCGTTTGCTGAAGGTTTACCGTCGTCGTCTAGCTACTGCCCTTCCCCACTTGCCTTTCATGGCCGACGTCTTTCGAAGGCAGCCGCTGCTGCTCCTGGTAATCCTTTTGCTTGTCCTTGTCGTCTTCCTCCACGTCTGCATCCTCAGCAGGGTACCTGGACGTACGTGTAAGAGGCTGTCTGCAAAGAAGGACGTTGGCATGGACGGACGGCAGACAAAGAGCAGGTCTTCAGTGGAGCACTCCAGAAGTCACCGCGCAGGCCATGGCCCGACTCGCTGTGCAAGGGCGTACGACCCATTAGAGTGCGTCACGGTGTGTCGTTCTCTGTCCATTTGCTCCCTTCATCATCGCCGTTCAGTGGACCTCCACCGTCGTCGTAGAATTACGGCCCTGTCATACGTGTTGTTGATGGCCGACCTCTATTGAAGGTTGCCACTGCTGCTCTTAGTCACAATTTTTCTTGTTGTGGTCCTCCTGTTCCACGTGTGTTTCCTCTATTGTTGATGGCCAACCTCTATCGCAGGCCTCCAGCAGAGAAGACGAGGGATCGACACCGACTGCAGTCGATATCGACATCAGCAGCGCATCCCGCAGGCGTTCGTCCACACTGGATGCAATCGCTATCGCCCGAAAGACACGTGGCGACATACACAGTTTCTCCCAGAAGTACTCCTCCGTCGCATCATCGCATGGCCTGAGATCCTCCCACGCCCCCACCGTCCTCCTTTTCATCCACCACCTCGGCGTCGCTCGTGGAAGAACACTGCAACCCATGGCACAGCAAACCTGAACTGCAGCCTCGGTGATGGCCATGGTATCCAGCCCTTTGACCGGGACTTGATGAAGCATCTTCCTCCTCTGCGCGCGGATCTGCGCTCTCATTCTGCCCAATGCCCTGTCCTGCTGACAACGAAAGAGCACGGCCGTCACGACCGTCTTCTCGATCGTCGTCAACTTCGCACATCCGTCGTCGCTGCTGCCCTCCATCGCACGTGTTGCAATACTCATGAACCACGGAAATACAACAGCCTACCAACTTGGCACGACCACGGTAATCTCAGCGCCAAGTCCCCGACGACGTTCCCTCGTGTGCTCGACTCAACACATAGGCGCGGCTGCATGCAGCGGCGATGGCGATGGACCTTTGCGGGGTGCTCACAAATTTGTGACGACGTACGAGGACTCCACTGCGCTGCTGCAAATGCCCGTTTCCACTGTCACAGATATGGATGCCACCTGCCCCGCGTTGCTGTTGTGACATCCAGCACCCAATTTGAAATTTGATTTTCGAACGGGGAGGTCCATTGCTTTTTAAGTTTTTTTTTTTTCCGGTTGCCAGCGTCTTTCAAAATTTCCCGCCTTCGGCAGCTGGACCACACCGTAGCAAGACGGACATCACCCAATGGACCAAGGCATTGCCCCCGCCGCGGCTGACTATAATATTATGAAAATGGCCGCCGGCGCCCGAAAGGAATCATCCTTGGGAGACCACCCCAAGGATAGGTGGAATGACGGCGGGAATTTCTTTCAAACCCCCCAAGGAAACTTCCTTGGCCCCCGAGGACCCCAAGGAGTGTCTAACGAGCCCTAAAGTGCGAAATGAGAATGATCTCTCTCAGAAAAAAAAAAAAAAAAAAGAATGATCTCTCAAAATTGTGCACACTAGTTGGGAGGGATTCTGAGGGAATTTGTAGGCCGCAACCGTCTTTGTTCAAATTTTGATAATAAGGTTGATGCCTCCATGAGCGATGGCGCTTGGTGTCAGGTGATTGGTGCAGTTCAGTTCGGAAGATAAGCCTTGGAGTCCTATGCTCTTTTTCGGGCTATAGAACGCCCGAGCGATCATTATAGCTGTATTTGGGGCAACTTTCAGCCCGTATGCAGATTCGGGTGAAGATGGTAGTTGGAGCTTCACTCCTTCCAGCAGACTGCACCTTTATACCCCTGTATGAATCCTTGATACAAACACGAGTGGTGTTCCAGTAGGCATCACCCACCGTTTTACCAAGGGCTCCACTTGTTTGCTATGGTTGGCCAAGGTAGGAAAATCACATTTGAAAGGCCTTCCACAATTCGGACCCCACCCAAATCCGAATCTCAGGGGCAGAGGCCTGGGCCGAGAAAGGCCAAGACGGTCAGTTTCAGAAAAGTCACAGTCGGGGACCTTGGCAGTCAAGTCCCACAGGGACCTTGCTAACAGTCACATCCCAGGGGCAAAAATCACGTCTCATAATGAAAAGTGGTATTGGAAAGTCGTGACCCACCGGCGGAGGACACTCCACACGCAAAAGTCGTGTCCCAGAGGCAGGAGTCACAAACCCCAGTCAAAGGTCATGTGCCACAATCGAAAAGTCGTGGCTCAAAGGCCCAAGCAGCAGCACACCAATGAAAATTCGGGAACAGTACCAGGCGTGACATTCTGAAGCAAACAGCCCGTGGGGATGTGGGACCAGAACCGAGTCAAGCCCCAAGAAACAGAGGCTGGGACGAGTCGAAGCTCAGTCCAAGACAATATAAGGACTGACCAGCCTCCTCATAAGGCAGATTGCTCATTCGCATGAAGAGTGGAAGTACTGGTGCACTTGTGCGCTATTGGGAAGAGCAGAGCGCTGACCCAGGGTGCTGTGCTAAGTGAGAGAGAGAGAGAGAGGGAGAGTTAGCGCTGGCAGGGAGAAGGCAGCCATAGCTGTGCCAGTGCAGAGTGTTAGTGCTAGTAGTGGTAGTTAGTAGGACTAGCAGTGGATGTATCCAGAGTAGATCCTTGAGTAGTAGTTAGTGAGTGTGCATGCATGTAGGGAGAGAAGACACAGTGAGGACATAGCTAGAGAGAAGACCAGTGAGAGAGAGAGAATGCAGAGAGAGAAGAAGACCTGGAAAGAGGCACTTACCTGAGAGCTGACGCTGGTTACTGGTTACCTTTGTATGCGTTGATGAGCGCTGGTGACGTGAACTCTTATTGCTCTTGTGATAATTTGCTGCAAGTGATAAGCTGCCCTATCTGGTTTTCTACTCTCTGGCATCCAATGTGCGAATTCGTGTCATCTCACTTGTGTTTGATGCATGTCTATGTGTGCACTCATTGGTGATGAACTGTGCGGTTCATACCACATTGGCATATCAGAAAATAAACCAGTCAGGGAAATAGAAGGTATTGCTGATTAGAAAAACCTGTTACTGCCGAAATAGCACGCTTCAGGGCTTATAAAGACGAAGTGGCCTTGCTGGCCACTATGCATTCCTCATGTCCACATAAAAATACATACCATCTTTGTCCTAAACGGGGAATGAAGGAAGGTCGCTCTAGCCCCCCAGGAAGCCCAACACTCCCCGTCGCCCTAGGCTATCAGCAGACTGTTCTCAGCTCAGCAGAAGCTGAAACCGGGTAATGGCCCCGGTACTCATTGAACATAAAACACTGGTGGGACGCTTGCTTTCCAGCAGGTGTCTCTTCCCACCAATAGATCGGAGCAGCAGCCACCAGGCCTGCTAGGGGAAGCTGCTGATATCACTCCCCCTTGCAAGCCAGGACTGTTTTTTCAACAAAAAAAACCGAAAGAAATGTCGCACTATCAGGCATGGGTGTGAAATGTAAGCACAGGCATAAACCCTATGCCATGCCTGGTGGTCTCCGAATCCACGGCAGTCATGCTACGATCATAATTCTTTCGCAGACACAATTGATGAAAAGACAACCTGGTTAGAGATCTGCGCACCGGCACAGAAAATGGTGCACCTGCCAGCAGACAACTGATTATTCAAAAAAAAAAAAAAAAAAGGCTGTGAAAGTTAGTGAAACCAACATTCATCAGTTTGCAACCACGCACAATCACATTTCTTCATTAGAATACAAGTTCTGGCTACATGTTGGAACCTCTGAGAAAACGTGAAAACGGAGACCGAAGACTTTCAACTATGCGGCGTAATTATTCATGGGGCTTATTCATATGGACGCCATGCAAGCAGGAAAGGAACAAAAGATCAGCTGAAGCCTGAAAGGTGTTGAAATGCAATCATTGACTCTAAAACTGGGACCATGGACTGAGAAACGCATCAAAAGATCTGCTCCGAAAGTTGACTCTTAAAAAAAATTGAAGAAGAAACAGAACGACGATCCTCATCGCAGACCATGGACACCCCGACCACCAGTCCTTCGTCCCAATCTATGCTGCTGCCCATCTGCCTCAACCGACTGGTACTGTCACTCCGTCCAGTTTATCCAGCATGACGAGCCCGTTTGGTACCCGATAGTGTAACGCACAGCAAGCACAGCAAGCCCAGCAAGCACAGCAAGCACAGCAAGCACAGCAAGCACAGCAAACACAGCAAGCACAGCATTACTTTTGAGATCTGACTTGGAGAGAGATGACACAGGAAGAAACGACAGAGCTTTAGTGCGAGCCATGGCGAGGATGAGGGCACAGGTAGCGGGAGAAATGTAGTCATGGGAAGGGAAAGTCGAAGAGAGGGGGGGGGGGGGGGGGGGGGGGGGGAGGAGGCGTCCAGGGGGCTTTGAACAAAAGAAGAGATGACAGGAAGACGACGGGCAATACGGTCAGGCAAGGTGCAGGGGGTAACCCACTCGGAGCGCACCCTTGTCCGGACTCCGATCTAACCAACTCGGTCTGTGGCCAATGGTGTGTGATATGGGGCGGGCGCAGAATGAGGAGTGCTGCAAAAAGAACCACAGGAGGGAAGGCGATGAGATGAGCAGAAGTAAGTTTCAAATATTATTTGCGATGTCAAACTGCCAAACTTTTCCTGAACTCGCACACAGAAAGATGAGCCGAGCCGAGTTTATTCCTATCTGCTGCAATAACAAGAACTCCCAATGACCCGAAATTGGTGAACACCATAGGAGCAAACGAAAAAAAGAATTCCAAGTGCACATCACCCCAAGAAACTGGGCTAGATCACCAAGGGTACAGGAATAAATGCTGTTACGCTAAACCCTTAAACCACCACTACCTTTCTCATATATGGGGCCGCGGGCCTCAAATTCAAATTCGGCCGCCACGCGCCGTCGATGAAAAATATCGACGGCGGTGTGGCGGCTATTTTTCAGGAGTAGGCTACTAGATGCCCACGGCCGACATATGGGAAAGGTAGCGGTGGTTTAACCAAAAAAAAAGCTCCTAAGTGCAGATGAAGCAGTTGACAAACTCCTTTCCTTGGGAATAGAGGTGTTCCTTGTGCCTCTTTTCTTTTTTTTTTTCTTCTTCGCTTCTTTTTTTTTTTTTTTGAGCAACACGTGCTGGAAGTGGCCCAGCATCCCTCATAAAGGTACAAAGAACAGTCACATGACTCCGTGGCCCAGCGTCCCTCATAAAGGTACAAAGAACAGTCACACAACTCCATTTCTCTAAGGGACCTGAGGAATCAATGAAAGCCTGGCTGATATTGAAGACACACGGAGGGAAAGGGGATGGTGATGTTTGGGACACATCTGACCACTGGCAAACCCACAACGCACATGGCAAATGGTGTGCACTCTCAAGCGTCATCTTGTCTCAAGATAAGAGTGCATAATGTGTTGACAGCTTGACAAGTGTTTTTAACTTCTTTTTTTTCCCCCCCTTTCTTTTTATTGTCAGGGGCCATGCTAATCTTCTCCGTATCTTTCCAATTTTAACGGCTGTTCCACAAACCTGATGTGGAGTGGACAACACTGGAACCAGCGAGAAGCAGTTAACAGAGCCCTGAATTTTCAGGGTTTTTTTCAGGGTCATTATAACGAATGTGCCACGTCTATTCCCTCCCTCTGACCTCGCTGTTGTGGATTTGTCGTGGTATGGGGGGTAGGGGTGGAGGTAGGGGGGGGGGRGGGAGGGAAGGCAGGGGCCTGCCCCAGAATAGACAGAAAAAGCTCACAATGATATCACATCCTTCTCTATGTAGTAGTAGTCAGACATGAACTAGAGGTCTGCTAGCTTATGCATAATCAGATCTGGCGTCCTGAAGGAGGACTGATGAGGCAGCCTTTCTTGCCGCACAGTTAACCCCCTGGGTCTCCTGGGGCAGTCAATGCCGGTGGCTAATGCAGGTACTTTGTTCAACAGGGACACTGGACCCACTTTCCAGCAGGTTCAGATCCCGATCAAAAAATAGACTTGGAGGCTGGAGCAACCGAAACAGGTACTAAGGGAGGCTGCTCACACAACCCCCCCTACACTGGGGGTAGTACCATGCTTTGGTTTAATTTGGGGAAAAAAAAACGGAAAACGGGATAGGCCAGGGACAGTCATCTGTCCCCGTCCATAGGGACAGTCTTTATTGAAGGGCTACAGTCAGAAGAGTGGTCTTTGAAATGAGACACAGGGCATGAGTAGTGCAGGAACTAAATTAAAATATGTATCTAAAAGCTTGATTGCAATCTTGTTCTTGGAGCTCTCCTATCTGCCATCGCATACCATCAGGAAAACCATACACATCTGACGGAACTTAGCTCTTAACATGGGCCCAATAATATCAAATGGGGTGCACTATATTGGTGTCCACCCTCTCACCACAACTCCAGGGAAGCCACTTCCTACATATGGGTCAGATTTTTTGACCAGGCTGTCAATAGGTCCAATCAGAAGAAAACAAAATGCTGGGTAGGTGGAATGGAGACATCCTTACCATCTTCCCCCCAAGGCAGGATATCCTCCCTCGTTCTGTCTGTACCGGCCCTGAAACGTTCTTGTGTACATTCATCATCAGGGTGTGTTTATGTTCGGGGGAAGATGGTTAGTTGTTTGGTAGAAGTAGAGTGGTCTGTTGTAAGGAGGAGAAACAATTTCCGGTATGAACACAAACGGTGACAGCAGGCCTCGCTCCACTACACAACACTTTACATGCATTTGGACGCTTCTGGAGTGGGCGCATTTGGACGAGTCCAACATGTTTTGAATGCATAGGGTTCAAAAAGCGTTCAAATGCATGTAGACGATTGTGTAGTGCCGAGTGGCGCCTAACATGACATACCGATCCTTCAACATTTCAGAAATGGAAGCTAAAAATGTCGGAAAAGTTACCACGGGGGCAATTGGCTTGCGGCCGTCAAGCGTTCAAAGTGACGTGGCTTTTCTTCTTCTTTTTCTTTTTCGCAGGTGCCATGCTAATCTTCTCTGTGTTGTTCCAAGTCTAACGGATGTTCCGAAGGACATGTTAAAGAAATAAACAAATGTATAAACAAACAAAGAAAGAGGCTCAAATAGCCTCAAATAGGTATATTGATGGATCTTTGGTTGGCTTCGGTTCTTTGCGTTGAGCACGTGACAAACAGCTGCGGGCGAATCCTTTGATCCCCCGACCTATGGTCAAACGACTACCGCTAAGTCAAATGGGAACAACTGACCCGGAGGCGACCTCCGATAGTGCGAGAAGGGCTTCGACAGATCGCACTCATCTCAGTGATCGAAGCAATCAGGGTGGTGATCGAAGTGCTCAGACATTTCGACTGCACGGTCAACTTCCATCCACCGCTGCATCGGGCAGTCAGCAGACTGGCTGGACATCTGCCACGCGTCGTGAATCGAGTAGCCATGGACCGTCATCGGCCGGTGTTGTTGGTTTTATCAACGGTCCAGGAACAAAAGACACACGAGGCAAGCCGGTGGGTTTGTTTCAGGAAGTTCGTGGCGGTACACGTGGAAGCGTGGGCACTTCCTCGTCTTCCTTCGGTAATGGCCGAGGCCATGGCGATAAGCGTGTGAGCATCGAACGTCGCATTGTCAGCTCTGCTGGCGGAGCTGCCGAACATCCAGGGCAAAACTTAAGGAGAGAAGCGGTGGCAGTTCAAAGAAAGAAAAGGAGTGGGGAAAAAGGGGACGAGAGCACGAGGGCTGAGAGAAGGCGACGAAGGAAGAACGGAGAGGGCGGCGGAGTTGAAGATGCAATGGACGAAGAACAACATCAGCGTGGAGGAGGAGACGAGGATGATGAGGAAGACGAAGAATACGTAGATGGGATTGATGGGGGGTTGATGCTTTCGTCGGGAAGGTTACCGTCATCTGGTAAGGCAATAACGTCACTGCGGGGAGCGAGATCAAGACCGAGATCGAGATCGTATCCAGGTGCGGCTGGAAATGAAGAAGATGATGGCAGCGGTGAGGGTGATATTGACGTTGACGCCGAATGCATGGTGGAGGACGATGGCGAACACGCTGCAGCGGCTGAGACTGTGGGTGGTGGAGATCGACTGAATCTGACGGCCATCGAGGACCGGTCTGTCTTTACCAGGGCACGTTCAAGCGGTCTGCCTTCAACGACGACCAGTCGGGACAGCCCGGTCCGGATCCGGACCGTTGATTGTCCACATTGTAAGTGCACCGTAAAGGTTCGAGTCCGATTAGGTCTACCTTCGGGGCGCTTGCGAGGTCTTCAAAGCAGACAGTGTAGTGCGAGCTGGGTTTCTGCTGTTGATCCTGTCAAGAAAAAACTGGGGACGCCAGGCGTTGCCGCGTGGCAGCTTGAGGAAACTTGTACTCTGGAGAAGGACAAGGAACTTCAGGCGCGAAAACGCCACCGCCGTAGTACTATTCCATCACCACTCTCCACCACTGGGACTTACACTGAGAGCAGACCAGATTCTTCTCCCTTCGATGGACTGCAAAGGAGTTGCCATCAGTTATGGCGGGAAAGTGGATTTTCAACCGCACGCGGTTTTGAGACCAAAGAAGCGGGAGGGACAATCCAGGAAGAGGAAAAACGAGCAGTGGAGGAAGGAGCACGTGTCAGTCCGTATGATCAGGGCTTAAAAACGATGGAGGGGGACATCAAACGCATGGCTATTTCGAGAAGGGAACAGGTCCGGATCCAACGACTAGTAGTGCTGTTCTGTGAGGGCTTCATAACGCTTCTCGAGGAGATCGTGTCAGCCTCACTGTCAAACAAGATCACAGTGATGGCGAAAGTCCTCAACACATTCGTCAAACTCGTTGAGGAAAGAATGAAGGTTAGCTCTCAAGCTTTCATCTGATTTTCTACTTTTCTTTTCTTGACCACCTTACTTTTATTCTCATTTTTTTGGCACAAACAGCCCCAATGTGCAGTGTGCATGAGTCAGGCGCAAAACCTGTTTTACAACATAGGTAAGGTTGCACAGGATTTAGGGTTTAGCGCTTAGAGCTTAGGGTTCGGGGTTTAGGTTTTAGGTTTTAGGGTTTAGGGTTTAGGGTTTAGGGTGTCATAGTAGAAATGAAGATCATATCCCCTACCCCCTGTTCCCAGGGAGTTACTGAATCTACCGCAATCGTGGGACGGGATCCACTGGGGGACAATCTGGGACGGGTCCCACTGGGGGGCAATCGGCAACTATGGGTGGCCATGAATAGCCTTGCCAAAATCCGCATTCAGATTGGACCAAGATTTTCATTTGCCAGCTGCAGTAATGGCTCCTAATAGTATTCTGGCCATTTTTGGCCATTTTCCGGAGGGACGGTTGGGGCATGAAAAATGGCCGGTTGCCGATGGTGTGGGTGCCAAAAATCGCATGGATGGCCTCAACATTTTGATACGAAGTGGGACTGCATCAGAATTTCCCGCCTTGTCATGCACATGGGCAAGGTGCTAGTGCCCATAAATAGCCCAGATGACCCCTCCCCTATCTCTCCTCCACACCTAGGTCATTTGACGCGCCCCTGGCCTTCCCAATCGAGCGGCTTCGTCATCTACACATTCGATGTTCTCCAAGGACAGCCCATCAAGAAAGTGTGCACATGTGGTTAAGGCTTAGGGCTTAGGGCTTACAATTTAGGGTTTAGGGTGTAGGGTTCTCCAGGGCTGTATGGAGCCTATCCTTTCCCGTTAGTCCCTTGCGTTTCAGTGTCCTCTACAGATGAGAGGTGCACTCATAGTATTAATTAACAACATCAGGTCTTCGTACGCAGAATGTTTACTTTGCTTGTCCGTGCAATGGCAGAGTGATGGTGGAATCTGTGAGAGAAGTGGAAACATGCAACCATCCAAACACCTGGAGAGGGGAGGAGAAGTTTACAAATGAGTTAGTGGGTGGACGGACGGATAAGTACCTGTCATTGAAACTGGTGAATGACTGAGTAAGGCCCCTGAGGCTAGCTTATGGGGTAGTACAGATGCAAATCTGATTCCTGGTCGATATCAGCTTATGGGCAAACCCGATTCCTTGTCAGGTCATGAAGTGGGAAAAAAAGGGAAACAAAAAGACCTTCTATGTGTCAGAGGTGGTCTGGAATGAGAGCTCTGCAAGCGATGAATGGAGAGAATGACTTTGCTTCACAGTAGATCAAAGCAACCGTCGCAAGCGACAGATGGCGCATAAAAAGTACTAAGCATTTATATAAACTTAACCACGACCCAAAAATGCTCACCTTTGATGGATGAGTTGCCATGTTCACGTGCCGATAGGGATGTGCAGTGTTGTGAGATGTGTGCAGCAGCTCGCCACTGTTCTTGATGAGGAGTAAGGCTCAGCTAAACGAGCAGCAGATATTCAGCTCCACTCTTAAGGTCTTGTATTAATGATGTTGGGTATTTGGTGCGTGACAATTCACGTAGGGCAAGATCCTTATCCCCTTTGTGTCGCATCATATAGTTTGCTTGTTTGCACACTTTGCTTGTCTCAACTTTTCTGTGTATGTAGGAATTGTACAATTCGGACAATTTTTTACACACACAGAAAAAGGAAGTGCAAAGTTGCAAACAGTATTCTTCCAACCAGACCATGCGGCTGAATTGTACACACATGTAACTGCTGGTGAACAGAACATGAGTTCAAATCCTGATGACATTGTAATCAGATGAACTCGATAAAGTCAGGGGCTACACCCTTTGAAAAAAGTAAAGGAGCTGCATTCTTCCTGAGTCATTCCGACCAGTGTGAAGCCATAGTTACTCTGGTTGTCCATGGGGAACTATGTCATATCGACTTCACTGTCCGCCTTTCTTTGCTTCATTCTCTCTCTCTCTCTCTCTCTCTCTCTCTCTCTCTCTCTCTCTCTCTCTCT